GTGTGTCTCAGCCACTTGCCTTGTTGCTGAGATCCAGCACCATGCACCCACAACCTCCAGGAGTGGCTTCTTCTGGCTCATGTTTGCAGACCACGGGTGTCTGGCCTCAAAGCAAAAACTGTGGCATAGGGTAGCAAAGCTGTTCCCTTCACGGCAGCCAGGAGGCAGAGAGGGAAGGGAAAGGCTGGGGAGGGACGAAAATACACCTCAGAAATGTATTTTCTGGGTCACGGGTGGTAGCGCCTGCTAATCCAGTCACCTTCCACAAGCCCCACTTGGAGGGATAAGGCCCGGTGGGCTGTTCTCTGTCTAAATCTTAACGTGTTTCCAGACTTCAGAGCCATTGATTAGACCCTGGTTAAGGAAACGGACACTTACACAGCCTGAGGGGCCTAGCGCAGAGCTGGGCTGTGGGGACAAGCTGTGTGCAGTGTAGGAATTGATGTAAAGGAAGGTTTACTCTGGAAGGACCCTTGTGCCTGCCCTGACAGACTTGGTGGGAACAGCCCAGCTGGTGTGGTTTGTCATTCCAGTGGGACCTCGGGAGTTTCCTGAGGAAGGGTTTTGGTTTCCGCCAGCCTTGGACAGAACCAGTTAGGGTGTTCACCAGAGCCCTTCCCTAGAAAGTCCCTAATGTCGTCATAGGTCAGTGATGACAGACATTTTAGAGACCAAGTGCCCAAACGACAACTCAGAGCCTACTTATTGCAAAGTGCCAGCACTGCAATTAATCTGAATATTGAGGTTTTAGTTTAGACTGAACAGCGCGTACCACTTGTGACGTCACCACGGCGGGCTCTGCGTGCGTGCTGCCGCACATGCGCCGCAGGTTCGCCACCGTGGCCGCCGTGGGGCTTGGTTTCTGGCTCTGACACTCCTTTTGTCTTTTACCAGATCTGTGTCGAGGGCAATATTGCAAGTGGGAAGACGACATGCCTGGAGTTCTTCTCCAATACAGCAGATGTTGAGGTACGATATTTACGCTGGGTTTGAAGAGGCCTGAAAAGGTTTAATAGGATAATTTATAGCGAAGATGGAACAACCTTGTCCGATATGAATAAAATGCAAGCTGAAAGGACAAGGCATATATGTAATTTATTTTTATTTATTTATTTTTCTTTGTCTTTTTTTTTTTTTTGCGGAACCCGGGGTAGAACTCAGGGCCTTGCTCTTGCCAAGCAAGTGCTTATTCTACTGAGCTATCTCCCCGGCTCAGCATATATGTAATTTAACATGTTATTATGTTAATGTCATTTGGGATTGAACCCAGAGCCTTGTGCATATTAGGCAAGGATTCCACTTCTGAGCTATATCCTCAGCCTGTAATGTAACATTTCTTCTTTTAATCTTTAAATTAAAAAAAAAAATTTTTTTAAACTTCAAAATCTGTCTGTTTTTATTATTTTCCCGCTCAGTTTTTATTTTATGTTGGTACTTGTATATAGTATGTGTTGATCACATGCCTCTTGGGGAGCTGATGCGTGTATTTAACACGTCTGATTCTTTTTCTGTCCCCTTTCTGTCCCTTCCCTCCACTCTCCCTCCCTCAGTGCTCTTCCCATTTGCAGAAGATTGAGCTCTCTACCTCCTGTTATTTAATATATAATTTAACAACTATAATAACCTTAATTAAATAGAACATTTATTTTACTGATTTTTAAAGAACATTTTATTTAACACAAGGTAGCCCAAATATTGTTAGGTCAACATGTAGTCAGAATTTACAAAAAAATCAGCAAGCTATTTTACGATCTAGTTTTTTCTATTAATCTGAAATCTGGGGCTGGTGAGATGGCTCAGTGGTCTAAAGCACCTACTTAGAGCAAGCTTAGCAAAGCACGGGGACCGCAGTTCGATCCCCCAGCACCACATGCCAACCAGCCCCGCCCCTGGTGGACTGAGCTGCCCCCCCCCACACACACATAAATAAATAAAATTAAAAAAAAAATCTGAAATCTGAATGCATTTTGTCTATACTGCATCTCTCATTTTGGACTACAGAGAGTCCCTAACTGAAAATGATTTGACTGGAGAGTACATTGGCGCTGCAGTGGTGCCAAAGCAGTACACATTCAGTATTCTGATGTGCAGTAGATCTGTGTATTAAGTGCATTTCAACTTAAGGTATTTTCAGTTTAAGATGGATTTATTGGGACACAACCCCATTGTAAGTCAAGAGGAATCTAGTCACAGTTCAAAGTCATAATAGAAAATTTTTAAATATAATAAAAATAAAACATAATTGCCAACTCCCCCTCCCCCCCAAAAAAAAAAACCCAACAACAACCCATAATTGCCACATGTGACTCATGGCCCCTCCACTGGAGGGTGCTGGTATGGCTCTCTTTAGTCTGACTAGGAATAGAGTCTACATTGAAAGAAGAAACATCAGACTATAGAAGAGGACTAAAATGTGACAGTGTGACGTCTGAGACATTAGTGTCCAAGGAGAGTATTATTATATGTAGCCAGTTAATATAACTTCTAGTTTATTTAAATTATATCCACTTAAGATAATCTCACAGGTGTTTAAGAATTATTTCTACACTGGGCTTCTGATTCTTCTTCCTTATTCTGGAATTTAATAGGGTATAATGGGTATAATTTTTTTGTGTCTGTGGCATGTATGCATTCATTCATTCATTCATTCACTGAGACAGGGTCTCGGTGTATAGCTCAGGCTAGCTTTGAACTCACTGTAGAGCCCAGGCTGGCCTTGAACTAGCAACAGTTCTCCTGCCTCAGGTCCTGAGTGCTGGGATTACAGGTGTGTACCAGCACACCCTGCTAACTCTTTGAAAAATCCTTGGGATCAGAAGTTTTTCAGAGTTTGTATGTTTTTAGATTCAGAATATTTACATGTACTTGATAAGGTGTCTTGGGAATGGAAGCCAAGTCTGAACATGAAATTAATTTATGTCACAGTGTGATTATGCAGTACATGTAGCCTGCAGGTAATTCAATATGATATTCTTAGTGTGCCAGCCTTTTGTGTGTGATCTGTCACATGGAGTCAGGTGTGGAATTTTCCATTTGCAGCATCATGTCAGCACTCAGAAAACCTTAGATATCAAATTTTCAGATTAGGGATGATCACACTGTACCAGTTTTCTTGAAATTGCAGTCATTCTCCTTCCTTTTCCTGTCTTTTCGTCTATTAAAACACATAGGTTTGCTAAAGATTATCAACATTGTCTTTCTTGCGTTCATGTGTTTCTGTGTAGAAAGAGTTGATAGCAGGGCCTGTGATCCAACTGTCCACACACAGGCCTGCTTACAAGTTGGCCTTTAGCTAGGATATGTAGATTTTAGAAAGGTTCCTACCATCCAGGATACTTTTTTCTCTTTATTGATGTTGCTCTGTGTCCTTTCATAGTAATAAATCTTTTTTTTTTTTTTTTTTTTTTTTTTTTTGCGGAACCAGGGATTGAACTCAGGCCCTTGTGCTTGCCAGGCAAACACTTATTCCACTGAGCTATCTCCCTGGCCCTCCACAGTAATAAACCTTTGTTGTGAGTGTTGTATGCTGTGTCTTCTGGAGCACCAAACCTGGGGAAGAAGGGGTGTTAGGGACTCGGAATACCTTTTCTGGCAGTTTAGAAGCAGTCACATACTCGTTGAAGACCCTTGAAGAGCCAACTAACCATGATAACAACAGTCAACATCTGTACCACAGGTATAATACTATATGCTGGGCATGGATTATTTGTTCAATGATCTAATTGATTTCATCCTTACCTGAGTAATCTCTCAAGGTTGCTACTATTAAGACCTAAGTTGCAGATGAGGAAACCAAGGCTCAGAAGGCTAACTAACTTAAAAGTTTTACATAATATGCTGGTTAATTTTAGATACCAACCTGACTGCATGAAAGAATACAGCGGGCCCACCTTTATCTGTGGTTTCAGTTACCTGAGATCAACCACAGTCTGAAAATATTAAATGGAAAATTCTGGAAATGGTTCAAAACCATATCAATTCATAAGGTTATACATTGCTCACCGTAAAGCAGTGTACTTGATGAAATAGCATGCCATCTTGCCGTGTCCTACTCAAGACATAAGCATCCCTCTGACAAGCATTTCTACTCTGTAGTTGTGCTACTCGTAGCCATCTTGGCTGTCAGATCAGCTGTATTACTTGTGCTCCAGTGGTTATATTCAGCCTTAATAATTTAATAAGCATCTTTTTTTTTGTATTTTAGGGAAGGGTCTATAGGGTGTTCAGGGTCTCACTACTAGATTGGACTTGCAGTGATCCGCCTGTTTACAGCCTTCCAAGTGCTGGGATTATAGGCATGGGCCCTGCCCAGTCTCAGTTGCCATCTTGATGCACCCCGGGGGCAGGGCCGGCATGAAGGCCCAGGGATCGAACCCCTTGCCCCTGTGCCTGCTTGCAGGCACTTTTAAGCATCCTAAAGTATAAGAGTAGTGATGCTGGCAGTTTTATGACAGTATATTACTACTTGCTGTATTTTATTAATTGTTGACCTCCTGTTGTGCCTGATTTATAAATTAAACTTGGGCTTGAGAGAAAGCTTGGTGGTCTAAGCAACAGCTTGGCAAGTGCAAGGACCTAAGTTTTATCCCAGTACTGTATGCTGTGCTGGCCTTGAAACTGGGCATGGTGGTGCATGCCTATAATCCCAGTGCTGGGGAGGCTAATACAGGAAGATCACTATGAGTCTGAACTGTCTAGCAAGACCCTACATCAAACAATTTTAAAAAATATTTATTGTAGGCATATATATATACAGGAAACATACTATATAATATATACGTACACATATGTAGGTACGTGGTGTGGTAATATATACAGCTTCAGACATCCACTGGCATTGTGGAATATGTCCCCCATATTGAATAAAGGGAGATTTTATGCTTAGAGAACTGGTAAGTCATTGTTTTGGGGTATATGTAGGGGGTGTTCTTGGGTAGACTGAAATGTGAGTCAGGGAGTTGAGTGTGGGCAGACACCCAGTTTGCTAGAGGTCTGGATAGAACAAACTCCAAGAGCAAAAGATTCCTGCTGTCTCTGTTCTGGAGCTTCCTCCTGCCGTGCCCTGTTATCTCAGAAGTCCCAGATCTCCAGCCTTGGAGGTTCAGGCCACACTTGCACCAGACACTGCAGGTCCTTGGGCCTCTAACCTCACACTGAGAGTTACACCATTGGCTTCACCACTTCTGAGGCTTTGGACTCGGACTGAGCTGTGCTGCTAGCATCTCAAGGACTCCGGTGTGGGGGCTGGTGAGATGGCTCAGTGGTCTAAAGCACCTACTTAGAACAAGCTTAGCAAAGCACAGGGACCGCGGTTCAATCCCCCAGCACCACATGCCAGCCAGCCCCGCCCCCTGGTGGGCTGAGCTGGACAGACACACACACACACACACACACACACACACACACACACACTAAAACAAAAAACAAAAACCAAAAACCAAAAAAAAAAGGACTCCGGTGTGTAGTCGGCCTGTAGTGAGGTAGGGTTCTTAGCCCCCCAGGAGCTAATTTCCCTAGTTAATGCATTCTCATGTGTCTATTTTTTTCTTTTCTTTCTTTTTTTTTTTTTTTTGCGGTACTAGGGATTTCATGTATCTATTTCTATATGAATCCTGTTGATTCTGCCTCTCTGGAGAAGTGATGCATATGCATGGCCTGTGTGTGGTAGGGCCAGATCCCAGCTTGGTATCTGGCTCAGGGGCCTGTCCTTTGGTTCTTCTGTGGTAGAGAGAGCTGGTCGACTTTAGGATGGTCACTCACCCTTCAGGTCATTTCTAGAAGTTACAAGAGGAGGTCAATCTAGATGGAGTTGTGGCTTCACAGAGGCTGCTCAGCTGTTTGGGCCCACCCTGGGCAGCCAAATCTTGGTAGTGTCTTTCTTTCTTAACACTTGCCCACTGTCACAGAGCTTAACTGGGTGATAGCAGCTTGCTCAAGGTTTTCTTTCCTTCCAGGTGTTAATGGAACCTGTGCCCAAGTGGAGAAACGTCCGTGGCCACAATCCTCTGGTGAGTGGCTTCTTGGGTGAACCTCAAGCACAGGGGAGGCAAAGCTATGGTATTCGTTATTGTGTTTTTGTTGGTGCTTTGTGGCCAATAAGTGGGTTTTGGGTTGCCACTTGGCACTTGGGCTCTAAGAGGTCCCCATCACTGCCGTAGCTTCTCCTTCAGGACCTGGGAAGGTGGTGTTAAAACCTGAGCCCAAGGCTGTGTGGACATTTCTCTCATTGTTAGGTGAGTTGGAAGACAACAGAAGGGACAAGCAAAAGATAGTAGTGTATTGGGATTTGGAGGTCACAGATCTCCACAATCTGGGTAGGTGTGCAGAGCCAAGGGACCTCCAAACTCTTAAGTAACCAGGTATCTTAGTTACTTTTCTTGTTGCTGAGACAAAATACACAACTCCCAAAGTTAAAGGAGGAAAGCTTCATTTTGGCTCATAGTTTGTAGAGGTTTTAGCGCATAGTTCCCTGACTCCAAGGCAGGGTGGCATAGTGAGGGCCCTTGCAGAGGAGCCACAAATCGTGGTGGGCAGGAGGCAGAGAGGCAGCAAGCAGTGAAATAAAAAGCAGCAAGCTGTGGCAACAGCCCTGTTTCCATCCCTGGTATCCTACCCAGGCTGCATGCCACAGGGGTGGGTAGCACTCCCTCCCAGGGTGGGCCTTCCTGTCATCCACACCCAGAACTATTCCAAGCCAGTCAGTGGACTAAGTTAGTAACCACACACCCTTTATCCCAGCATCACGCACTCTGGATCCAGCCACCTCTGGAAAGCCCCACCTAGGACCGCATGAGGCTCTGGGGCACATCTAGACACAAGTCATAACGTCAGATTCTTTGCTGAACCCTAGATTTTGGTTTGCATCCAGTAACTGGCTGTCTTTCCCTGAAGCTACCTGCCTCTTCTCAGGGTGGACCTAGAAAGTAGGGGCTGGAGTGTGGGGGGTGTCCACCTTCCTTTCCCACAAGAAGACTCAGCTCTGTGTGCTTGGAAGGGGTGGACAGACCCTGGCTCCTGCCCAAGAGGGCTTAACAAAGGCCTGTTGGTTCTGGGCTCCCCTTGTAAAAGCTAGTTTTACTTTGGGAGACTGCAACTTAAGTAAATGATCTAAGGTCACACTTCTGATGTATGACAGATCTAGATTTCAGCCTGGGACTTGGCAGCTTGTGCTGCTCCTTCAGTTCTAGTAATGCGGCTGCCACCTCATGTGGCTTGTTAGACCCTTGAGTTCCACTGCAGGGAGGGCCTGTGTCTGTTCTAGTCACAGTTGTTTGCTTGAACATAGACTGTTAGAAGGTGCTTGTCCGTGTATTCATTTGGCCAGTATCGAGTGTACACCTTCTGTGTGGCCGATACTGTTCTGGACCTTGGGACAGCAGGTGAGCATGCTGAAGCCTCTTTTCTCTTGCCTCTAATATTCTCGTATGGGAAGGCAGGAGGCAGATGGAGACTGGTGGGTGGTGGTAGGAACCGTGAAGAAAGCTAAAGTGGGTGAAAAGATGTTACTTGAATAAGGCCAGCTCGCAGGGCTTTTGAATAGTGAATCCCACAGAGACACGAGAGGAGTTTCACCTGCGTGCCTGTGGGAGCGGGTGGAGTGCCAGTGTGACAAAGAATGTTCTCCAGAAGCCAGGGAGGAAGCAGGGCTTGCCTGTTAGGGAAGGCACCTAGGACTGCGCACATCAGGAATTGTAGTGCTACCACATCACTGACAGAATCATCCCTCAGAAGGCTGAGTGTCCTTGATCCGAACAGCATTTCCAGTGAAAGTGAGTAAGAAAAAATATAACAGACGTAACCTTTTTACACTTTGTGGACAGAGGAGCAAGGTAGATGTTTTTGTGAGAACTGTCAGCCCATCACTGTCTGGTTGGTTCTCTGAAGCGTGTCAGTGGCTGTGGCCTTTTGGACCCAGCCTTTCTGAGATTTTCCTGCACCTTCCCTTGAAGGTCTGCAGTTTTCAGTGCAAACCATTGAAGTGTATTAGGTTTTCATCAACCAAAGAGAAACAAACAGATTACTGCCCCCAGAGGGACAGAGTAAAATTAGTGAATGGACAATGGAGCAGGAGGTATTTTGCATCTACTAGTGATAGAGTGTTTGGGAGTGGGTGGGTATCTGCTTTAGATAGGACAGTGTGGTAAGGTGACATCTGAGTGGAGACCTGGACAGGCAAGAGGGAGCACTGCTGGCATCTGGAGGAAGTATTCCAGCAGCGGTGGCAGATACAGGGGCTCTGGGGTGGGGCCCTGCTTGGACTGGCCAGAGGGACAGTGGTAGGAGAAGAGAGAGGTGGCACCGAGTCCAAGGCCTTGTGGACTGCAGTGAGGAACTGGGTTGCGTTCTGGGTGTAATGCGGAGCCCCTGGAAGGTTCTGAGCAGGGTGGGTGACAAGAACTGGCTTAGCCCACTCACTGTACTGTTGGATAGGGAACAGACCCCAGGGGGCCCAGAGAACCTTTATTGCATGACTCTGTGGGTATGGTCCCTGGGGAAAATTCTGGTTCAGCTATCACTGGGCCATCCTGTAATAGCTTTGGTGCTTCTCTTTGTCCTCATTTTTGAGAGCTCTTGTGCCATTCTGGGCTCACCTCTGACCCCGTGTAGGCTTCTTTAGCTGGCTTTTAGTGACAGCTAGAGCAGGGTCCTGCAGATGCCAGCTTGTCATAAAATGCTGCATTCTCCCTTCTGCAGGGCCTGATGTACCGTGATGCCAGCCGATGGGGCCTCACACTGCAGACCTATGTGCAGCTCACCATGCTGGACCAGCACACTCGTCCTCAGGCATGTTTGGGGTACTCGGCTTCAGCCTTGCCAAATAAAACTTTCCCCAAATTAGGGACTTGTGCTTGCTGGGAGGATGCCTACAAGGGCCCTTGGGGCTGCTGCGCAACCTGTGCGGCTGGGGCAAGGTCACCTGTCCTTCAGCTGTCCTAGGAGTGCATGCTAATGCCACCTTGCACTCACGTCTTCATGACTGGGCCATTTGACTCGTTCTTCTCAGAGTATGGTGTGGGCTTGTGGTGACAGCCACGGTGCCCACTGGAACTTGGCATATATATCTTGTATATTTTCTGCCCCCATGCCTGACCTCTAAATCGGATTCTGGAGATGAGGCTTGATGTGTTTGTCAAGCTGTCCAATACACACCCTGGATGTCTACCTGTTTGAGAACCACCAATTAAACTTTCTTGGCTCTGGCTTTTAGTTCAGATTCTTGAACAAATCTGATTCAACTGGGGCCAGTGATCAGCCCTGGTTCACTCAAGTGTTGGGGCAGAGACAGGGTGAGCATGCTGCTCAGCTCCTCCTATCAGTGGGGCCATGACTAGGAACAGATTCTTAGAAGAAAGGTGGCTGGGCAGACCCCAACTGTACCTGTGGCTCAAAACTAAGCACAACCTAAGACATCTGTGTTAGATGCTGTTCATGAAAGGTACAGGACAGAGCTATAGCCTGAGAGGTTCGTATAGCTAGTGGGCCGGGCAGTTTGATCCAGGTCTCTGCACCTAGAGCTTTCATTAACACAAAACTGTGTCTTTTCCCATTGGGAGATGTGAGGAAGACCTTTTTGGTGAATATGAATTTCTCTTTCTCCAAATAGGATACAGATCAGAGGATCTGAAGTTAGTACTTTTCTCTTGGCTTACCCCACATTTTTCTGAGTGGGCAGTCAATTGAAAACCTAAATTGTATCTAATAATATCTGAATATAAAGGGACCCAGGTAAAAAATTTCTTGCTAAGGAGGCAGAGACAGCTAGGAGAATAGAACAGGAGGAGAGCCAGGGAAAGGTAAGCAGAGCTGTGAATACAGAGAGGATGGAGAGGAACGTGATGAGTAGAGGTTTGGAGGAATGGGTAGACAGGGAGGGAGGGTGCATTAGTGGATTCCTGGGTTGTGGCTTTGAATGTGTCTCTGATTTGCTGGTCCACAGGTACTGTGGACCATCCCCCATGGAGCAGTTTGTCCACTTGGTGTTAAGGGAAGGGCCTCTCCTCTCTCCAAGGGACACTGGATGAAGGGAAAGCTCATCTGTGGAGGACATAGGAACCCTGGCAGGGAGAGGCAGGGTCCTGGCATCCTCCTCTTGGGCATGACGAGGCCTTCCAAGTTTCTGTACTCAGAGGCCCAGGAGTGGACCTCATGCCAGTGCTCTTGGAGCTCTGTCTCTGGCATCTAGGAATCGAGCTCTTGGCCTTGCCCTAATCTCAACAAGTGGACTGTGATTGGCTTAAGTAAGAGAGACCAGTAGTATGATTTTTGGAACATTCAGGAAAGTCAGAATTCTCTCTCGGGAGACAGCTGTATTTATTTGGTTTCAAACCAAGGAAGAGGATGCCAGGGCAAGTGTAGGGACTGAGCAGGACCCTGGGTGTCAGTGTGAAGATGTCTCCAAGCTGTAAATTTTGCCAGTTAAGAGGACTGTTTGATGTCTAAGGTTGGCAGCTTCATTGCTCTGGAATGGGGAGTGTCCCTGCTGCCTCAGCGTGGTCATATCTTGACTCCAGAGCACTAGGCATATGAGCTTTTCCAGCACAGCCAGAGGTCCCTGGTCAGCATCTTAGCTCTGTGCAGCGAGGTCTCCCGACACACAGGCACTCTTCTTAAAGCAAAGTCACCCTGTTCAGGCCCTTGATGTCCCCTTTCCCCCACAGTGAGCCTCAGTGGGCAAACTTGGCAGTTCCACCAGTGTCTCCGCGCATCCTGGTTGAAGCTCACCTCTGCTGGGAAAGAGGCCTCTGTGGATGAGCCGTCAGCCCCTTGCTCCCACACTGTCCCCACAGCTCCAGCTGGGGGTGCTTAGGCAGAGGGAGGAGCACAGTGCATCCTTGTGTGGGACCTGGCTTCTGCTCAGGGCCTGCCCCTTTCTCCACAGTCTCTCGATTCTTGTATTCAGCAAAGATGAGGGGATAACACTGGTGTGGGACAGGCCCTTACAGGCTTCTGGACCCCCTCCTCTGCACCTGAGTTGATCACTTCTTGTTTTTCCTTTAGGTGTCACCAGTACGGCTGATGGAGAGGTCGATTCATAGTGCAAGATATGTTTTTGTAGAAAACCTTTATAAAAGGTACTGTAGTTTTTTTAACCATTTATAGTTTATTTAATCATTGATTTTTAAAAATGAAGATGGAACTTGCTTGTTTAGTTGACAGATACAAGTGCCTGCTCTGCTGTATCAGTTGCCCGTTAGCACCATAACACCGAGTAATGAACAACCACAAGTCTCAGGGGCAACAGCTCCCTGCACTGGTTGCTGTGTTGGCTAGGGTGGGCAGCTCCCTCCCTCTGTGAGATGCCTGGAGTCAGCAAGGCTGGGATGATCTCTGCCAGGGTGAATGGGGCAGTGTCACTTTCTTTCGCATGCCCATCACCTTCCTCTGGGGCCAGCACATAAGCTGGGGATGGCAGAGGGTAAGAGCGCCAGCCAAGGGGCATGAACATTTTCTTGGGCCTCCACTTCTAGTTTGCTAGTATTGGCCACATGGCTGTAGGAACCCAGGGTGAGGAGGCGGTGGAGTGCAAGAAAGGAGAAGTGGCTGGCCCCTACTGTCACCCGCTTCACTACCTCTTCCTACTTTTAGTTTGGGCTGCTGCTGTCTCCCTGACATCAGTGCAAGGTGCTCCTCCTCCTCTGCGTGCAGGTCCCTCAGTTCTGCAGCTCTCCTCCTCCTCTCCCTCCCCACCCCTTGTGGGGAAGGGTTGAGCCCCTTGCTCTGCTCTGTCAGCTCTGCTCTTCTGTCCTCTCTCCTCCCTGTCTTCTTCCTTTCGTCTTCAGTGATCCTGAAGATGGAGCTCTGTGCCTGGTATGTGCTAGGCAAGTGCTCACCCGCTGAGCTGCGGATACCCCCAGCCCTCCTTTTGCTGTTCTTAATGATTTTCCAGTGGTATTTATTTCAGATAATCACAGAAATTATTAACATTTGGCCAATTTTAACCAAGATGGAAGAAGGTTCAATGTAGTGTATTTTATGTAAGTGTTCATTGTTCATCTCTCCTGGACCATGTGCTCCTCAAGGACAGGGACTGCATCTCATTTACTTCCTTAACTTGGACCAGCACAGAGCAGGCTCCGTTTCAGTATTTTTTTTTTTTTTTTTTTGTGGAACCAGGGATTGAACTCAGGCCCTTGCGTTTGCCAGGAAAGTGCTTATTCCACTGAGCCATCTCCCCAGCCCTCCTGGTCAGTATTTGTTCACTAATTACTGGATGTTCTTTGGTCTCTAGAACAACTTAGCCCCCGGGCCCTGCCCTCTGTTTTAGGCAGATTCCTGTGAGTGTGCCACTAACTCGAGTGCTGCCAGTCGTGAGCTGCTGTGTCTGCAGTCTGTGTGACTCCCAAAAAGAGATGCCGTGCCCATGGTCCCCAGACACCTGAATATCAGCCAGTGCTGTGGCAGGTGGCTAGGGCAAGTTCTTTTTTTTTTTTTTTTTCTTCAAAGTTTTATTGATAAACAGATAGCAGTGAGTCAGTTTCAAATCAAATCGGAAGTACAGTTTCAACAAATAATACACTGTGTATATTCTTCTTAGTAGGGCAAGTTCTGATGGTAGCTGTGTTCTCTGACCTCACACCTTTCTGGTGGGCTTCAGCTTGTTCTTCTGCTCTGACAAGTGGTATTCCTGCCGCTAGCCCCCTCTTCCCCCTGCTGCCTGGTTCCCAGTGGGTACAAGGTGTCAGTTGCCAGGTTAATCCATTTCCTTTGAGGACAGGCAGAAGGGAGGTAAGAAGGGACAGGAAGCCCCTGTGATATGTGTGTGCTGCCCAGCCAGAAGTAGTGAGGAGGGGCCTGGGCTGTGGGGTGGGGCTTCCTGTGGCTCTTGAGTAGCAGGGCTGTCTCTGTCTCCTGAGTACAGTGAGCTTGGCTGGTTCTGTAGGGAGGTTGACTTGGAGTAACGTGACCAGAGAGCAAACAAAAGAGCTAGGTGGTATCTTAGTCACCTTCCTTGTCACCAGGGCACAAATACTCAACACCCATAACTGAAAAGAAGAAAGGTTTATTTTGGCTCATGTTTCACTCCATAGTTGTCTGACACAGGGGCATACCAAAGGAAACTGTGCCCCTTACGGCAGCCAGGAAACAGATGAAGGGTGGGGCCACGAACAAAAATAGCATCTTCTAGGTCATACATCCAGAGTCCTTCCTTTTCTGACCAGAGCCTACCTCCTAAGGGCAGGTCAGCTACAATGTCCCCATACCAAGTCATCTTCTAAAAGCCCCGCCTATGAACGCATGAGGCTCTTGGGGGATGTGCAGATGTAAACCGTAGCAGGAGGTGCCCAGTCCTGGATGGAGTTCGCTCACGGTAAGCATAACCAACACTCTAAACTCCTCTGAGCCCGTTTCTTATTGCTAATTCCCATGGTCCACCTCTTGAGCAGCCTTTGGACCAGTTGCCTACTTTGAATCTATGACCCTTGTGATGTTTGTCAAACCTGTCCCCCTAACTCCAGGCAAACATCCCCAGGAGCTGTCTGTTTTTGTGTATCCCAGGGCACAGTCTTAGCTGGCGTCTGTGAGCTTTGGTGACTCATCGATACATTTCATCACACCTCTGATGAGTCAGGTCTATATTTCCCAATCACTGTGGCTATGGCATTGGTTTAGGTAACATGGGCCCTGTGCCCCGAGCTATTTTGTGTGTGGTGCAGGAAGAGAATAACTTTATGTTTTCTTTCTCTGGCCGTTTTCCAACCATGGTGACTTCATATTTAAACCTCCCTTGACTTCTCATGCAGCTCTGGGGCATTGAACCACAGAAAACTTCAGTGCTTGAAGTGCCCTTGTTTGTGCCCTTGTTTGTGGTGTTGGTTCTGGTTAAGGTTGTACAGCTTCCAAGCACAATAGATTCTCCTGAAGACTTGTGGAGCCTGAGACCCTTGAAGAAGCCAAAGACTGTTGGCTGGCATGTAGCCTCAGGCACTCTGGACTTCCAGTCTTTAGGGAAGGCTTCTATCCTGGATGACATGGCCACTCAGCATGGTCTCCGGGGGGCTGGGACGGGGTGCTGGTCCTCAGAGCCTTTCTCTGAAGTCCTCCAGAGGCAGAGGAAAGCCCCATGGATGCTGCCCCCAAGAGTACCATCCCAGCCTCTGTGGCCCAGAGCAGCGTGTTACCAACCTGGACATGTCTTCTGAGTCTCCTCTTTTGTTCTAGGAACTCATGTGTATTTTCCATTCTGTTCCATAATCTCTGTTCTTAACCTGTAATAAAGCTGCACTTGGGGCGCCCCTCCCTCATCACATATCCCAGAGTCCCCATGGTTTGGAGGGAAAGAACCAAGGGCAAGAAGGGATTCATCTGTGAACAGGACCAGCTCCTGTTCCCTGGACTTGGGACATTGGCCCGTGTGGTTGAGGGTCTGAATAGGGACGGGGACTGTGTTGGTTATCTGATTGTTGGCCACTTGGTAGATGAGAAACTGAGAAGGAATTACAAAGCCACCTCCTTCCTGAGAGTGTGAGCCTTCCAGGCAGGGGAAGGTGTTCCGCAGCCTGCTCTGTGGGAAGCAAGGAATGAGGCAGTAGTGAGAGACTCCCAGAGTTCTGTGGCTCTGGTCCGACGTTGAGGGCCCAGTGGAACCCTAAAGGCTAGAAGTCCTCATGTTCAAGCCCCTAGGGCACACCCTGTCTCTTTCTACACAGGCTTGCTACTGGTCATTTGTGCACCGTACTAACATGCGTGCCCTGCTTCAGTGCGGCTGGGCGGGGATAGATGGCTGCACTTCTAGCAGGGCTTTACTCAGAGGGACAAGGCCTAGCAGAAGACCTCAGCCAAGTGTCTGCAGGCAGCCTTCTGTCTACACACACTGGTCCTTCCCCCAGGAGTCCTGCTCCTGTGGCTTTTTTTGGGCCTGACTGGGCCTTTGGGGTCACAAGGGCAAGAGCCTCAGAACTGAGGGCTTAATAATGCAGGATATCCTGTTTCCTGCACCTGACCTGCAGTTTCATTCTTCATTTCAGTTATTGCTTTAGGATTTGGCTGGTGGGGTTTTGTTATGTTAGCTTTGTTTTGAAAATTCCTGGTTGATTCCCAGGCCTGGATTAGGCCAAAGAGTCTGTCTGCCTCTGCCTTTGCCTTTGTCCCTGCCCCTGCCCCTGCCCTCTCTAGCATCTCACTGTGTATTCTAGGCTGATCTTGAATTCACTATGAAGCGCAGACTGGCCTTGAACTTGGAGTGATCCCCCTGCTTCAGCCTCTCTAGTACTGGATTATGGGCCTAGGGCTTCTCTCTAAAGGCACAGTGAGAAGTAATTTTGGCTAGAGCTACAGAGGAATGAATGGGAAGAAGACTAGAATTTGGGCTTTCTTTGTGGTTACATTTATTTATTTATTTATTTGTATTTTGGTGGAACCAGGGATTAAACTCAGGCCCTTCTGCTTGCCAGGCAAGTACTTACTCTACTGAGCTATCTCCCCAGCCCCTGTGGTTACTTTCTTTACAGCTACAGCTTCTCAAATACAGGAAAAACAAAACAACAAACCAGTCCCAGCATGTGAGAACCAACTGCCCAAAGCGGATGGGACTGAAAGACCAAAGAAAGAGGCTGACATATCCAGGATTACACGAAGTAAAATTTATTATGGACCTCTGGACAGAAGTGTATTTTGGGCAGTGGCAAGATAGGGGAGTGTTCATAATACAGGGCTGGAGCAAGAGGCTTATTTACTAAGCTGGCCAAAAGGGGCCATTATCCATTGGAATGTAGCTGGGCTTTCTTAAAAACTGTAACTATAGGGGCTGGGAAGATGGCTCAGTAGAATAAGTGCTTCCCAGGCAAGCGCAAGGGCCTGAGTTCAATCCCTGGTTCCTCCAAAAAACCCAAAACAAAACAAAACAAAACAAAAACCCTCTAACTATGTGCAGTGTCAGGTAAGACAGTCTGGTTGTCAGTGGCTGGCCTACTACACTCAGCTGTCTTCATGACTTTATTTGTCCCATTCAGTTTGGGATGCATGCCAGGGTCACCTGGTGGACAAAACGGTGGTTGCAACCAAGATGGCTGTAGTTATGTCAAGCTGGGTATCTATAATTGTTTAGAGCCTACACCATGTAGCATCGAATTGAGTTTAGCTAGATTGTGTGGCCAACCTGGAACAGGATGACTGCCTCCTGCCTGTGGGAGTTCAGCCAGGTGCCGGCATGTGTGGGGCGTTGTCTTCTGCATGGAGCTTGTTTCCCCACTTCCTGGGACGAGTAAGGCAAGCTCTTCCTAGCGTGCTGTGCTGGGAGCCCCTTCACAAGGGATGTGTGTGTGTGTGTGTGTGTGTGTGTGTGTGTGTGTGTAGTGGGGCTATTGCTGCAGCCCCTTCCAGTATGGGAGTGATCCTTTCCTCCAAAGCTCTGGAAACCTTGCGTAAGGGTCTGTGGGGGCCTGGACAAACAGGAATGTGGCACTGTGGTCTTGCTTTCTGCTGTTGCCTGCTCATTTCTAGAAAAACCCATGTACACACAGCTGGAATTGTGTTTGACCAAAGCAAAATTTCTTGAAGGACTTTTTTTGCCCTCTGGCCTTGAGCAAGAGAGGCAGAGGAACCGGTCACTTCCTCTTCCGACACCCTGCAGCTCCAGCAGTGTTAGAGTGGGCAGTCTGAGTGCAGTTGTGCCACCAGGGTATGAGGGGGTTGTGCTAATTGCTGGAGAGGAAGATTCGATGACATGGTGTCCTTGAAGATGGAAACTTGTGGGCACCTTGGGCCAAAATGAAAAGCTGGAAGTGGTGAGAAGCCTTCATGTAGCTAAAAGGGGCTGCACAGGCAACCATGTGGCTCGCCCTGGGGGCCGAGTAATGAAATGTCGAGGTTTTACAGCATTGCCTGGTCCTCCTTTTCTGGGAGCAGAACTAAAGGAATTGAGTGGGCCCAGCTGGGGACGAGGTAACTGACTCTCCTGGCTTGTTGGAATAGTACAAAGGAGTTCCCACCTCCCCGGCAGGCTGCCTGATCTGCCCTGCTCAGGTCCAGATGGTGGACTCCAAGGCTGCTGTCCTGGAGCTTATGCTGAAGACACTGGGCTCCATGGGACAGCTTCATAGCAGTGGCCCATAGATCAGAAGCTGGTCTCAGACCAAACTGGGCCTGATTTCTCTGGGCCCCAGTTTTCTTCATCTGTAAATTGGGACCCAAATGAGAAAGAAATTGTGAGAGAGAAAGAAATTGTGTATATAAGGCAACTAGTGTTTGAATGTGAGGTTTTTGTTTTCATCCATCCCAGACAAATCTGGGGGCTTCTTAGACCTCTGGGGGAAAGTTGTAGAAAATTGTGTTAAACAAAACAGTTTGTAGAACTCATGTGGGCCCTAGACCTTGGTTTTGGTGAGGTCTAAGGGACAGGGGGCAGGTTGCTGTGAGGCGTCTGGGTGTGCTTTGGTGAGTAAGTCATGTAGATGTACCATAGAGATGTGCTGGCCCTCCGTGGGCTTTGGGGATGGAGGCATTGGGTGGTCCTGGGTGCCTGGTGCTCCATGATGGAGGCAGACATGGGTGGGTCTGGGCAGAATTTCTAGAAGGAAACTGCACATGTGGGTAAAACAGTACTACCACCTCATGTGTCATAGTTATAGAATCCAGGCTTCTGTTTCCTCATGCCGCTCGTGACCAGCCACTGGGATCCTCCAGCACCTTCCAGCACCTGGCTCCTGGCAGTCTTGGAAGGGTTTCCCTGGGTGTGATCTGCTGCCTGTCAGGGAGGCCACCCCATGAGGACCCCTTCTTTTAAAAGAGCATCGGGAAGGGAGGGAAGCTTGTACAAAAAGCCCTCAGTTTGAGTTGGGTTGGGGGTAAGAAGGGGCACCCCCCCAGGTACCCAGTTGGTCTCATAAGACCCTGTGGAGCAGATTTCTAGGGAATAATGGCTCTGAGGCTCCAGAAGCCCCACTGCACCCCCACCTAGGTGGGCCCCTCCCCCCTTGCCATGGGTCTGTGTACCTCTGTGCCCACGTGAAACTGTGCTTCCTATGTCATGAATTGTGGTGTGGTTTCATGGCTGACTGGGGATTTATAGCCTGTGTGAGGACCTCTAGCAGCCGAGTTTGGCAGTTGCCCAGTTCCTGGAACTTGGGAGACAGTGCTGGTGGACAGCTCTGCCTTCTCCCCCTGGCTGCTAAGGAGCCCAGTTCCCAGGATGAGCAGACTGGGTGTGCTGAAGTATGGGAGGGGCTGATCAGTATCCTTGTGTGTAGCAAAGCCTTCCTTCTTCAGAGTGGGTTTTGTTCTGTCTTCTTAACCGAGAGATGGGCATTATGTTGGGTGCAGGGGACGACTTGGTGTCTTGAACATCGGCTAATGCACTCTTAGCTTTGCTAACTGAAAACAGACTCAATAGGGTCTGGACAGTGAGGCTGGCACTGGAGGATAATTTGGTGGCTCTGGCTCTTATTCTCTGTATTTTTCCCCCTGTCTTTTTCCTGTCCACAGTATAATTTCTTCAGCTGTGGCACTGCAGGGCTTCTGACATGCTGCTTAGAGGCAGGAAGGTTCTTGCCAGTGCCTCCCTTGAGCAAGAACACACTCCCTTCCCTGAGCCTCTGCACAGCCTTCCTCCCTGTCATGGTTAGCTTGGGTCCCCTGGGGCACCAGATGAATCCTTTGTCCTGGCTTGGCTTCCTATGTACATCACTGGGCAGGGGAGAGGATTACCCTTAGGCACAGGGGACCTACTAAAGTGTGGGTGGGTACACAAAGGCCTGTGGGAAGCAAGAGGAAAGAAAGGTGGGGCTGGGGTGGAGGTGGGGCAGCCCGCTGTCTTCACCCAGCCAGTCTGGGGCACCAAGTCCTTACCTTAACTGTAGGGCCAACATTTTCTTGAGCTGGGGTCCCCTCTGCAGTGTTACAGGACGTCCTCCCTTCGCATCCCCCAGTCCACGCTGTCCCACACCGTGCAGCTTCCCTAGTTTCAGCGGGCATCTTGGCAGTCCTGCACATTTCTTCACTCTAGGCTCCTTGCTGAAGTCTGCTCATGACTAGTCCCTCTGCTCTGTTCAGCTCTGCCCTGCACAGGCATGAAGGCGATGCTGGGTGAAGGGAGGACATTCTCTCCAGTCTGTGCCAGGCCCCAGAGCAGTGCTACTTGTGTACTCGGTCTCCCAGGCCACCTCCCTCCAACCATCTTGGCTTCTCGTCTCCTTGTACCTCCCCATACAGGGCTGGGGTTGGGCCGCAGCTGGAGCCTTAGTTACTTTTCTTATTGATGAGATAAAATACCTGACACCCATAGTTGAAGGAGGAAAGGTGTATTTTGCCTCACAGATAGCAGAGGTTTCAGTCTGCAATCAGCTGCCTCTGAGGGTGGCATGGCAGCAGGGCATTGCAGAGGAAAAACAGTCCATGGCAGGCAGCAGGCAGCAGGCAGCAGGGTAGCAAAGAAGTGAAGATGCAGCCAGTGACAAGGGACAGCAGCCCTTCTGTTCTGTCTGGGCTGCACACACGAAGGGCAGCTAGCACACACCTTGGGTAGGTCCTCTGATTATCCACACCCAGAATATGCCAGACCAACCTGTGCACTAACCCAGTAACCCCACACTCTTGGCCTTGGCATCATGCACTATAGATCCAGTGGCCTCTGAGAAGTCCCACTGTGACCCCACAAGACTCTGGGGGGACATCTAGTCATAAGCCCCAATAACTGGGCAGGGCGCAGCCCCACACCACGTCCTGCCCTTCTCTCTGTCCAGCTAGAGCTCCCTGTGGTGCCCAGGGCATCCACTCTCCTTCTTTGCGCGGCAGCCCAGCCATACCCAGGGCTGAGTGGATCCCACATGGAGCCACAGGTGGAGGATGTTGAAAGGGAGGATTCCTTTTCTGGGCCGTATGCCAGCCACCTGCTGCCACTCCTTTCTCTTCCCTGTGTCCGGTGAGGTACAAGACAGCCACAGGAATGCCAGTAGCTCTTCATTCCTTGCCCTTTTCTTGCTTTCCAAGTTAAACTTAAAATATGTAATAACAGTTGTCTGCTCCCATTCTTGATTTGAGAGCTAATATATTGTTAAAATTGGGAAAATAAGGATATAAAGAAGAAAGAACATCTCTGATAGTCCTGCGGCTCAGAGAAAAGCACTGTTACCATTTGGGGATTTTCTTTGTCAACATTTCTTTCTTTTCTTTCTTTTTTTTTTTTTTTTGGCGGAACCAGGGATTGAACTCAGGCCCTTGTGCTTGCCAGGCAAACGCTTTTTCCACTGAGCCATCTCCCTGGCCCCTATCATTTCAAAATGTAGATGAATATTTATATTTTGAAACTATGGTTGAGATCATAATGTGTGTTGATTTGTATTTTGCTCTTTCACTGAGTGCAAGATTTTAGGTATTTTTCATATCATTCAGTATTATTTTACATCATCCTTTGTATGGCCCAGTTTTTTCATACATACATACGAACACACACACACACACACACACACACACCCCAAGGTTTAGTTTTTCATTATTTTAAATAGTTTGTAGTTCATGGTTATTAGGAGATAGATGAGTATCTAGGGGTGAAATTGATTTGTTGGTCCGTCTCCCAAGCTGAATGCTGTCCTAAAGATTAGGGAACAACCTTTAAAGTGTCTTTCTGCTTGGAGTTCGTATTCCAAATGACTGTGCCATGGATCTTGCTGCTTTATACCATAAACCAGTTGTGGCAAACCTATGGCACACCTGTTATTTTGATTTATTTATTATTTTTTTTAAAGAAAAGATGTTAATGTAGAGTTGTTTTTTTCTAAATTAAAACCTCAGCATTGAGGTTTAATTGCGGTGTTGGCACTTGGTGACAGGTGATGGCATTTGGCTTACAGGTTTCTGCCTGGTCTCTGAACAATTCGCCATCACTGCCCTAAGCCATCCCCAGGCAGAGGGAGGTCAGGGGCACTTAGCTGTCTTCGCCCCAACATCTTAGGGACTGTCCTATGGTCTTGGTGGTACCTTCTTAATGAGAGCCATTGGTAGGTCATTCTAGGGACAGCACAGCCCAGGAATTTTCTCTGAGCCTGAGTGAGTCATCCCTTGAACTTCCCTTGCAGTGGGAAGATGCCTGAAGTGGACTATGTGATTCTCTCTGAATGGTTTGACTGGATTATGAAGAATATAAATGTCTCTGTTGACCTGATAGGTAAGTTGGGCCCTCCTTCCCCTCCCTGCCCTGACCCTTCACTGGGCCAGCCAGGATGTACTTAGTGGGGCCCAACCACAGGGGTCTTAGGCAGAGGGCACTTGCCTTTGGGAGTCCTTCCTCATGTTACTTCAGTCTCTGTCCAAGTGCAGAAAGGGTTTGGGGGTTTCTGGGCTGGCATAGAAAAAACTAGCCTGATTCCTTAAGCGGCCCTCCTGAGTCAGCTACTTTCAGACCTTTATCCTTGGGATTTGATGGCTTCTCTGGTTTGTGAAGAGGGAGAAGCACAGAAACTGGACATTTACCAGGCCTGTCATGTGCCAGGCTCTCTGCCAAACTGTGTCTACACATGGGATTCTGCTCAGCCTCATGGTGCCCCATGGAGCTGCTGAGAGCTGGAGGCTGAGATGCAAGGTTTCTGTTTGGTCACATGACAGCCAGCACTCAAGCTCAGAGTGATCCCCAGCCTCTGTGTCTTCCTTGGAGCTGTGGCAGCACCTCCCTCACCTGGGCCATGTGCCTTCCCTCAGCTGTTGCTCCCAAGCCATGAACAGAGTAACTAGAATCATGTATTTGTTTAAACCTCAGTTTATCTCCGGACCACTCCTGAGACCTGTCACCAGCGATTAAAGATGAGGTGTAGGGAAGAGGAGAAGGTCATTCCGCTGGTAAGAGGCCAAAGACAACCGGAAAACTAGTTCTACCCAGCCTGGCTTCCCCTCCCAGGCCCTTCTACCATGACATCATTGTGTGTTTGTCATCAGAGAGGAACAGGAACAGAATGTGAGCTCTGATTTCCTCTGGCTGGAAGCCCTGAGGGTGTCCAGAGCTGCTTCACTTCCTGTGGTTCTGACTCAGGCCTTAGCACCCCCATACAGAAACACCTCTTCCCTTCATCCCCTCAGCCCCCTGGCAAGGCTAGGCTTTGCCTATTCCACCTCCTGAAGACTGATTGGATCTGTGCCCTCTGGATCTTCCCTGGAATGCGAGTCTCAGACGGCTGGAGCAAGCCCTCACTCCCTCATGCAGCCGGCACTTTGCTCAGTGCCTCATCTAGCATGGAGGTAGTGCCTGCCTAGTCCGGGGATACTTTGCTACCCAGGGACCTAGCTTGGGGCCCCGTCAACTCCATTTAGGACAGTTGTGCCAGCCCTGGACTGTTCTAGGTTGTGACCTTAGTCCCCACATCTTTCTCAAAGTCCATCCTTCTGGCTGCTGCATTGGTGCTGTTTCCAGTGCAGAACTGCACTCGTGCAGCTTTCCAGCCGAGGATGAGTTAGTGCCTTGGTGTTGTCTGAAGTCCCTACTTGGTAGCATAGCATGTGCATGGCCTGTGAGGCCCCGTGTGACCCCTCCTCTTCCCCATGCTTCTCTCTGATATCATCTCCTTCCACTCCCTGCTAGTGTTCTGGCCATAAAGAACAAGTTTGACTGGATGTTTATGTGCACACACGTGCGCTCGCACACATATACACACACATCCTTAAAGTAATGTAGCCATGTATTTGCACAGTGGTTCACCCCAATGTCACATCCTCTAGGAAGCCTCTGTCCTTGTCCCTCCATTGGGCTCCCTGTTCCCGCCTCGCTGTGATGGTGGCCCTTTGGACAGTGGACCGATGATGTTTCTTTGTGCCTTTGCTCCCCGTCCCTCACTGTGAGCCTTTTAAGGTTTGATCTTGTTCCCTTTCTTCTCTCTGCATGTGGCCTGGGGCCTGGCACTGAGTGGTTGCTTAGTTAGTGTTGAACTGAATGCCTCATGGGAGCAGCTGCCCCTGGAGGTTTCAGGGAGCAGGGCAGGCGTGTAGTTGGGTAGACCAGGGTCCCTGAAAGGACTGTCTACTTCTGGGGCCCTGTTCAGCCTCATTTCACCAGGTGCCATCAGGCACATCTCAGCTACAATGGGCCGCTCCCTTGAATCTCAAAGTGAGGCAGAAGACATTGGAGGATAGAACACACTGAACCTAGCCCAGTGAGGCCATGTTCTCATGGGACACAGTAGCTCTGTGGTGACCTAGACGTTCTAACAACAACCAAAAAAATGCCAAGTCCGGAGTCCTTCTAAGGCATTATGCAAGCTCTTGTCTTGATGATTTTTGACAAGATCTGTAGGGCAGTTCTAGCCCTGGCTGCCCTGGCAGAACTCGGTGGGGGGTGAAGCTGCAGCATGGTGTACAGGAAAACTAGGGTGGTGAGTAGCCCCTTGAGGTGCCTGTGGATGCCGGCACACACTGAGGCGTGGGAGAGTGTGTATGTCCAGGGCTCTGCAGTGTTTTGGCATGGTTGGTCTGGGCAAGCATCTGTGCCCCTTCCCCTGCCAGGCTCCCTGCAGGTGGTGGTGTCTACAGTCTGCAGAATGTCTCTGGGCCAAGTGGTCTGGTGGGTAGGGGCAGCGGCAGGGGGGAGATCAGAGCAGAAGAGGGTGGCGGGCAGTGCTTCTGACTGTTGGATGCCCTGTCTAGCCTGCGTGACATTTGCTGCTGCCCATCTGAGCCAGGTTCACTGTGGCAGGGTTTTTCGTCTAAGTCACTGCTCTGTGGTCACTGAGAGCTTTGTCCCACTTGCTGAGGCCCTTGGAAGGAAAGCACTGGCCCCTATCCCATTCCTGAGCTCCTGACAGCCTGTGCCTTTGTGTTTCTCTGGCAGGAGTACCTTGAGGCCATTCACCAACTCTATGAGGAGTGGCTGGTCACAGGCAGCCTCTTCCCTGTGACAGCCCCTGTTCTGGTAAGTCCCTCACAGGCAGGAGACTTCTTGCAGGGAGGAGTGACCCAGGGCACGTCAGCCTCTGCGGAGGGACACAGGGTGGAGTCCCTACAGCCAGGAGGAGGCGTGTGGGAGGGCTAGAAGGGCTCTTTCTCTGCCAGTTCTCATTCTTGGACTGAGTCTTTGAGTGAGTTGGATGGACCAAGAAAGCCACCTGTCCCAGTGCCATTACAGCTAGTGATGAGTAACACGGACTTAGCCAGCATTGGCCCCAAAGCCCTAGTTGTCTGAAGCCTCTGGACCAGGGTTGGGGTTTGGGTCTTTGGGGATTGTAGTGCCTCTGATGCGACCTTCCTTCTTCAGTGGAGGACACAGAGCCTCAGTTCACCTTGGCTCAGTGACTCAGGGTCATCAGAAGGAATGTGAGCTGCTGTTCCAGGCCGTGACCCAGGGATGCCCTTGGGAGGTGCGGAGGTGTGTAGGGCTGTGTGTCCCAGTGACTGCCGTCCTGCAGTTCCTGCGCTGCTTTTCACAGTAACCTGTTCCTCTTACTGGTGCATGTCATTTCTAACTGGTACTGATGTCTGTCCTGTTAGTGTTTCCTCATCGCCTGTTCCCTTGAGTTCAGATATTTTGGCCCAGATCTTTCCAGGTAGGCAGGTGATACCTAAGGCTGCTACTGTGTGGGTCATGAGCCGCTGTGCATGACTGGGCTCCTCACTCTTACAGCTTTTGCAGGTAGTGAGGCTGCAGGCAAGAGAAATATTACTACAGTGAGTTTTTAAAGAAGTTTGTTTTTCCTTGTTATGGTAGTAGGAACTATAAAATGATGAAAAAAATCATTCTGCGAAGATAACTCTTGTGGACTCTTACGTGAAAATAGTTGAGAATGTAGACCACCCTCGAGCTGGGTGCTCTGACCTCCCTGTGCCTGTGGGCTTCTTTCCCTTTCCCTGCCTCCCCTGCCTGCCTCTATTTCTGTCTTCTTTTGTGGAGGGAGGGGGGCGTGGAGGTCAGCGCAGCAGAAGTTATGACCAGTGTGTTTCATTTCCAGGTGATTGAGGCTGACCACAACATGGAGAAGATGTTACAAATACTTGAACAGAACCGGGCCCGGATATTAACACCAGAGGACTGGAAGCATGGCCCTTAGGATGGGAGAGGTTTGTGGGATCAGGCCAGGAGCAGGCTCCCAGCTGCCAAGCCAGCTATTAGGAGGAACCGAGAACAATCTGCTGTTACAAGGCCTTTCATCCGGCCAAATCTAGTTCCTGATGGTCCTTTCTCCTTAGCTAGTGCCTTCATCATGGGTCCATGACCCTTGTGGGTAGGTGACAAATGGGACCAATATGTTTGTTGCCCCTTGGCGTGTGGAGCCTGTATTACCCTGGTGGCTTCCCACTACTGGATCCCTCTGCTGACCTCCTTAGGAACAGCTCCTGCTCTGTGAATGACACTGGGCTGGCTTCTGTGCATCCCAGTCACTCAGGAGAGCGAAGCAGCAGCCTCACATCTCAGGTGAGGAATTTAGAGTTCATTGAGATTAAAGACTCCTCAGGGTCTCACAGCCAGTGAGCCATGAAGCTGAGGGCATTCATCCTTTAGCCCAGGCTGCTTCGCCTTGAGAGATGGTCCCAGCAGACCCTTAGCTCTTTGTGTGGAGAGCTGGCAGTGTGTCTTCTCATCACTGAGCAGTTCTCAAGGACAGCCAGGATTTCTAGACTTTCATAAAGTTGTGCTGTTTGGCTCGAGTCCATGTTAAATGGTTTTACAGTGTGAAGGCACTACGGCCTCTTCCGGTTGCCACCTGGACTTCACCACCACAGGAGAATCCCACACTGACTCCTGAGTGGTTCCCAGATGCTGGGGGTGAAGGTCCTACCTGAACTGCTGCCAGTTCCATGCTGGGGGCCAGTTTGTAGTGCTTGGGGCCAGTTTGCCTGGTGCTGAGGCGTGCTGGGGTGACCAAGGCAGCCAGGCCTGGTTTCTGAGGCTCTTCTCCTCTGTCCTTGGGTGAGGAGCTTTGCCCTTGCAGTTACTTAGCATGTGTGGTCTGCAGGGAGAGGCACAAGTGGCCTTAATTCTAGTTGAAAGATTTTTCCATCCAGGGGAATATCGAGCTACAGAGCATGAAACCATCTCCACAGCTTCAGAAAATACTGTCAGCTGTGACAAGGCGCTGAAGGCCCAGCTGCCTGTTAAACCAAGTAGGAATCAGAAGAAAGGAGAACGCTTTGTGAGAGCCATCCAAACAGCACGGTCAGGGGTTGCAGGCAGGCTGTGGAAGCTTTGCTGGCAGTGGGCAGAGGGCACTGGAGAAGACTGGGCATGAACATGAGTACTGAGCTGCTGGCTCGAGGCGCGCAGCTGTAGCACTTGGCTGTCAATGAAGGCCACCTCTCCCACCCCGTGAGTGTGGACCCTCGTGCGGCCACAGGTGCCAGGAGGTCCAGTCCCAGAGAGTGTGCTGAGAGGTCAAAGACTCCAGCTCCTAGTCCTTCCCGTCTGGGCCAGTACTGGGCCACATGAGCTGACTGCAGCACTTGGCGTGGAGGGGCAGCCATCGAGGGCAGCATGGAGACCCATCAGCACCTGCAGCCACGTGCTGGTCAGGAACCCGGAGCAGTTGGGCATCTTTGCTGTCAGGAATCTTGACATGTTGCGGCAGTTTGGGGGAGTTTGTAAGTGAACAGTGCAATGCTTGCCTCTTGGCTCAGTGTAAGTGAGCAGTATCTTCCCCTTGACTCGATTTGAGCAACCATTTTGGGGAGAAATGTAATTTTACCCCTGTGATAACCAATAAATCCTTCACCTAAATCTTGATGTTCATTTTTGAGTGCTTCCTTGGCAGTGCTTTCCCTAACCGGCAGCACTCTCTTGCCAGTAGGATAATGTGTTTTTACTTTTGAAACACCGTGTTTCCTGTCATAGGACATACAGGGTCAGAAAGCCCCCTGGTGCCTGAGAAGGGGCTGTGTGTATCAGTACGGGCTGGAGCTGGTTGCAAGATCCCTGTGACCCCAGATGACACCTGCAGTGGCCACAGACAGTTTACACAGGAGCCGCTGTCCCATGTGGAAGGCAGGGATCACACAGCGGGTATGAACACTGCCACGAGCCAGGGCCAGGAAGCGGCACAGGGCACAGGGCACAGGGCAGGCACGGCAGGCCTCATAGGAACGGAGGCCTGTGGCACACCTGCCAGGAGTGGATGAGGAGCATGGCAGGGGCTGGCCAGGCCAGTAACATTTCGCAACTGCTGGTGTCCCCCATTCTTACTCTGAGGCTGGGGATCAGTGGAGTATTGTCAGCACATTCAGAGCCTTCTCAGCTACTCTGACTCATAGAAAAAAAGTTTTTTGAATAGTTGAGCAGCATATGGCATTTCCTTCTAGTTGGACTTTTAGGGAACTAATTGAAATTTACATGTAAGCCTTTTGGTTTTAGATGTTGCGTACGGTTAGAACCATTCAAGGTACTTTATGTTCCTAGTAATTAAAAAAACCAATCTATAGGATAGAGACTCATTTATTTTTCCTGTGGAACATTGTGTGTAGGTGGGTGGCCTAGGGGTGGGGTAGTGGCTCTGTGGCTGTCCTGGTTTTGGTTCTTCCTTTCTGTTCCTGGAGGTTTCACTTCCGGGTTCATGACTTCCCTCTATCCTTGGGGGAGGAGTGACTGTGTAGGATGGTGGCCAGAGCTCCTGTCTGACCAGTGTTGGCAACAAGGCCAGCTGCTCCCCACTCACCCTTTAATTTGGACAGTGACCCTTTCCTAGGCATAACTAAGGTGTCAGAACTTTGCTAGGGGCCTTGGGAGGAAGTGGTTGGGGCAAGAAGGAGCTTAGCACCCACAGACTGGGCCACATGAGCAGACTGCAGCACGTGGCGTCCTCTGGGCCCCTGTCACATCACCCTGCCTGCTCTGTGCTGGAATGTTGGCTCTGCCTCTTGTGCAGGGTGTAACCCAAGGAGAAGTAGGACCACCTTGCCCTTGCTCCTATGATGTAAGTGAACAGAGTCACAAGTGGGTGATGTAACCCCTGGGAAATGATGTCATCTGGCTTCTGTTCATTAGTTTCTGCTGCTTCCATTTCATCCGAGCCCTTCACCTAGAGGAGATGTGTCCCTGCCTGGGATAAGCATCCATCTTCTCCTGGATGTCCCAGGCTCCCACCAGCAGATCCAAGGAAGGGTAGTTGTATTAAAGCTCAGAGAACACAAAAGATATTTCTAAAACCTGTCTGCACTTAGGTCCTGCTGAACTTGGGCTAACTGCTTTTCTCGAGCCCTGGGGTAGGGTGTGGGTGCTTCTTTTTAATGCTTATATATCTGTGGAATGAGTGACATTGTTCTCTAGTTGTGTCCACCCTGAAGAGTTTCTTATTAAAATAATGGATAACTTTTGAAAGTGTCAGCCCTCCATCGTTGAGAACACGGTAGTACATAGCCTGACTCCACTGGGCTGGGACACAGGATTACTCACCAAAGGCCTCATGGTCCTTGGCACAAACATTCTTCATATCATGACCTCAACTCCAGCTCCCCTGAAGTTGGAATGAATTTTATGTTCCTTTGATTTATAGAAGAGAAACTAGGACAAAGTTGTCATTAAACAGAAAAGGAGAGAAAGCCTGTCTCCTGAGATCCCAAAGGTGTAGGCATTTGGATCACAGCAGCTATCTTGAATTTTTGGACGTCTTCACTTTTTCTCTTAAGACTAGTGCTTAGCAGGCTGGACTCTGGAACACAGGCACCCTCTTAATAGGCGCTCTGAGATAAAGTGGTCTATAGCCCTCGAAGTTTGGGAAACCATTTCCATACTTTGTGAGATCCACAAGCCACATTAATCTAGATGAAAGGAGATCCTACAATAATAAGTAAGTAAAGAAAGAAAAAGAGAAAAAGAAAAAAAAGTCTTGTTAACTTTGTTTAAAGTAGGGGCTCGCTGACAGGGGAACTCCTCATCTTGACAGCTGCCATCAGCTGTCTGATCACAGTGTTCCTTGGAGCACACCTTGGGGAGGGCTGCTTTAGGTGATCCCAGCTGCTGCTGACTCCCTGGCTTCTGTGCGCTGGGACCGAGAGGTCAGTAGTTCTCAAACTTCAAAATGTCCAAGTCACCTGAGGGCTTGTGAGGATGTGCATTAGCAGGTCTCAGTGTCACAGTTTCTAATTCTGCCTGTCAAGAAGGAGCCTTAGAGGGCTGGCGAAATGGCTCAGTGGTCTAAAGCACCTACTTAGAACAAGCTTAGCAAAGCACAGGGACTGCGGTTCAATCCCCCAGCACCACATGCCGGCCAGCCCCGCCCCCTGGTGGGCTGAGCTGGCCACACACACACACACACACACACACACACACACACACATTAAAAAAAAAAAAAAAAAAAAAAAAAGAATGAGCCTGAGAATCTTTTCTTGCACTATTCCAAGTTGTGCTGAGGCTGCTGGTCCAGCCATCTCCCCGTTTGAGAACTATTGCTCTAGTTGTAACACTTTCTAGAATTTGACATCCAGGAAGTCAAAGAAAATGGTGTTTAACCTCTCATGGGCTCTGGTCCAACAAGAGCATTGCTCTTCAGGGTTGTGAGGAAAACGGACTTGAAATGGAATGGGCCCAGACCAGGGCCTGGTAAGCAGCAGGTGCCCAGTGAATGTTAGTGCAGCTGCTGGGCCTGGAAAAACTAGGCCGGGACACAGTACGCTGTGACCACACTAACCGGCCAACTGTTATGTGGAAACCATCACAAATTAATAGGCGCCATTTTAACTTACCTGTTAGGAACAGGTCAGAGGCCTGGCCAACGCTGACCCTTGGAATCACACCTCATCACCTTTTTGCAATTATAGATTATGGGCCAACAGTTGGCCTTTCTCTTCTTTAAAAAAAAAAACAAAAACAAAAACCAAGTCCCTGTTTTTCCTGGGGACTCTGGTTCTACAGCTTGTGTGCAGCGGCATGAGAGGGAGGGCCAGCAGAGATGGGGCTGCTGCTTCTCGGGGCATGGACCTTGACTCCCCTTTTATACTGATAATCCCTTGGGGTACCTCAGATTAGACCAATGGTTGTTCAGTCTGTCATCACCTTTCTTGTAAAACCCTTTATTCTCAGGCCCAGGTGACCTCATAACCTAGTGCCCTTTCTCTAATGCACAGAGCAGGTGCCAGGGATGACCAGAACTCCACAGTTCCAGGCTTATCTTAGGAAATGCCTAGAAAAATTAGCAGTGACTGATGAATCTTAAGCTTTTGGGTTCTCCTGGAGTTTATGCCTAGGGCCTAGGCTTTGGGGTCAGAATGAGCTGGGATCCCAGTTTCCTGAGTTACTGGCCATGAGACCTCAAGCAGGTCACCTCACTTCTCTGATACTGCTTTGTCCGCTGGACTCTAGGGCTCTGTTGTTTTCTTTCACAAGGCAGGAACTGGACAGTGAGGAAGGGGGAGTTAAGTGAACAACAGGCTTGGCCTGGCTCCTTCTGAGCTCTCCTCCCCCTAATGCTGGCTGCAGAAGCAACCAGGCTTCCTTGCACTTTTACTGGCAAAATGCCTAGAAGTTTATGACTGGGTACTCCATAAGCCAAGGCCTTGGATCCTGAATTTATATTTTCAAAACAGGTTTCTCCCTCAGGGCTGTGGGGGGAACTGTCTCTGCATCCTTGCCAGCCACTCACTTGGTGTGGAGGCCACAGGCTATTCCCAGGCAGGCCTGTGACCTCTCCCTGTTGTCTAATGGCCCTCCCCAGGCAGTCACCTATGTTGGCTGAGGCTAATGTACAGGATGATCACAGGCCCCCTCCTGTGGGGTGGGCAGCTCAGCTCCTCAAAACCACTCACCTGGGAAGGAGGGCACCAGCAGCCTCAGCAGTCCCTTCTGGTGAGTGTAGAATTAAATGCATTATACTAATTTACTTTGAAGCATCAACTATAAAAACTTACATGATTTCAGTGAAGTAGCAGTATGTAAAACTGAGATAAAAAATAAATAGGTCATAACCGTAGAGCTTTCTTTACACAAAACCATACAAGAAAAATTCTAAAATACTCCCAGAATACACTAACATCAACAAATGTAAAGACAGCTCCCATTCTTGAATAGGCTGGCCCAACACTGGAAGGATATTAGTTCTCCCTAAATTAATTTAGAAATTTAATGCAATTTTTTTTGAGATAGGGTCTCTCTCCAGGCTTCTCTTGAACTCACTGTGTCACCCAGACTGGCCTCAAACTTGAACAGTCCTTCTACCTCGACTTTCCTGAGTCCTGGGATTACAGGTGTATGTCACCATGCCTGGACATTGAACACAGTAAAAATACCACAGGCTATTTTATAGTTTGACATGGTATACTAAAGTTTCTATATAAAGTTCATAGAAGAATAAGTGGAAAGTAAAACAAAATCAAACAAAACACAAAATCATGATGGAGACCTAGCTGTACCAGGCATTAAAACATATTGCAAAAACCTTATAATGAAAATGATATGGCACATGAATAGACAAATAGATGAGTAGGACAGAACAGAGGTCTCAGAAATAGGCACAAGTACAGGTTGACATTTAGTATAAGATGAAGATGGCATTTCAAGCCAGGGGGATCAAGGTGGAGTTTTAAATAAATGGTGCTGAGACGACTGGGTAGCCATTGAAGAACCTAAAACAGATCGATATCTCACATCATACTCAAGAATAACCCTCATAGTCAGGAATACAAATATAAAAGTACCAGATGAATTCTTAAAAATCTTGATGTAGAGAAAATTTCCTAAGACTCAGTTCAGATCCAATAAAGGATTGATAAACCTGACCATGTAAAAATTTTGCATGACAAAAGCCACCATACAGCCAACCCATTGACAAACTGGGAGAAAATGCATACACAGAGCTAATATTCCTAAATAATCACAAAGACTTTATATTTTTTAATTTTTTTAAATTTTCCCAATAATTTTATTGAGAAACAAATGGCAATGAGACAGTTTCAAACCAAATTGGTAGGACAGTTTCAATAATTAACACATTGCATACATTCTTCCTAGTGGTTAATTGCTGTACAAGATGCCGACATGATATCCTATTTACAAACACCATTAGAATAAATCCCTCTATTCATTAAGAGAATGTAAATATATATATATATTCTAACCATCATGAATACAAAGATACAAAATGGACATTCATCTGTATCCCCTTTTTTTGTTTAGTTCCGTTATTTGAATATTATAGGTGTGAAAAGTGAAGAATGATTATTATTATTATTTTTTTTGGTGGAACCGGGGATTGAACTCAGGTCCTTGTGCTTGCCAGGGAAGCACTTATTCCACTGAGCCATCTCCCCAGCCACAAAGACTTTTTAAAAGGATCAAACAGCCAATAGAAAAATGAGAAAAGGCATAGAAATCCACAAAGTTCAAAAATAGTACTTAAACATATGAAAAATACTCAAACTCAGGTAAGAAAATGAAAATTAAGAGAACCGTGAGTATCATTT